GACCCACAGGTGAGGCAACTGTGAAGTTTTTAAAATCACAGACATTCACAGTCCTAAATGAACTTTACAGAAGAAAAATTATTTATATCTGCAAAATGCCTTTACTGCAATGCTCTTTTTCTCCCTGCAGTTTCATTACAAATGCTCTGAGTTTCTTGGCATTAAAAGCAAAATATTTAACTCATTATGAGTATCAATCAATCTGTGTCAACTTCTTGTTGCTGCAGACTCCTGTACACATGATGATGTATGTCATCAATGTTTATTTTGGTCAAGTGTACTTACGGGATTATGAAATGAATGTATTCAATGTTTCCTACTACAAGTTCAGAGAGCTTAATCAATGTTTAGACTCAAATTCATACTCTGTGGGTCAAATAATATAATGCATGGAACAGAAAATCTCATAAATAACCCAGATGTAGGTTCCTAGTTGTCATTTGAATATGCTGCAATTAATAATACAAAAATTTAACAAGCAATCTTTGTGTAATCAAATATTAATTAATACACATACATATTCAATATCAAATATTAGGACACTCCCAAATAACTGTAAGTTTATGATCTTTAGAGCCTCTGGTATTCAATCTTTGAACTTCTGTGCCTTAAATTTGGAATGGCAATGTTTATCCATTCATCATACAAGATTATGAGGATGATGGGGGTCTACATACCATAACAACCTGGCCTGAAGGAATTATAAAATATGTTTGCATGTTGGGTTTTTCAACATATCTCTGCCTGAGAATTGGAGGTTCCATGTCCAGTCTTTTAACAAAGTTTCAGTAATATATTTGAGATTATATTCTAATGCATAGTTTTCAATGAAAATTATATAAAATATTATAGGCCACAATGCCATGTCAGGAGAATACTATTCCAAATCCAAAAATTTGCAAAATGGTGACATGATAGTTTCTGTGCCATACAATAAATTTATTTTAAAGAACCTGGTAGCATTTTATCTTTAAATTAAAACTGATTTCATTAGTCCATCATGATCAGCAACTCCTAAACCGAACTGAAGATGAATACAGAACTAGAACAGCCACCTCAAGTGATGCCCATACATTATACAAACAATACTAAATCCTAGTCAAATATAGGCGTTAGGTTCCTTGAGAACAGCAAGTTAGGTAAACCTGTACTGGACAAATTTTTGACCTTCCAGGTAAAACTCGATATGTGGATTCAGCAGCATTAAGACTGCCATTAACACCTAGATATGCAGATGTTCAGCACACAAATGAATGGCCTTATCTGTAGTGCTCTGAGTTATTGAAGGCACCAAAGTCTTCAGTTTCCATTCTACATCTGTAGGCATGTTGAGTGTGACAGGATCTGAATGTCTTAATAATTCCTAGGCCCACAGGTTGCAGGACCATGGTGGTGTTAGGTGGTAAAAACACTACCCTGACATTATGATTACTGAATTACACTGTTTGAGGATCATGGCCAGGGGCATACTGAGTATATTCAAAATTTTCTACATTCCTGAAATAATTAGTCCCCTTTCTAAAAGCACATATAAAAAAACCTGCATTCAACAATGGTGTACTGTTCTGCAGCAATTTAAATGTAAATGGAAAAATTAAAAAGTGTCGCTGCTTCAGAGTTGCTCAGTTTGTCAAGTACAAATAAATGGTATGAAAAGAGGACGTGATGCCATGTGTGGTAGATAAGATCAATGTTTTGGAGGTACCCGATGCCTACATCTTGAGAGTAGAAACCTTTCCTTAAAATACAGGTAGCAGGTTCCTCCAAAATGCTGGTACCTACCTACCCAGCTTTGTGGTATCACCTCCCAGAATACTATGATATTCATGCTCACTGCCATGAGAGCTCTCAAATGGGTATTTCATCTGACATGCCAGTTCTATGAAGCATAACTGAAGTTACTACATCAGAATTTGAATTATATTTTTATAGGCATAACCATACAAAATGTGATACAAACCTATGTATCAGTTAAAAGACACAGAACATACCAATTCTCAACAAACTGTGTATCTAAGGCTATATTTCACTGATAAATCCATCTGATCTAAGGCCACAGTTCCCTGTCAAAACTGCTAATCACAGTGTCACACAATATTCATTAGATCTGCAGTTGTTCCAATCAAAGACAAACTTAAAACTGAATGGAACCTCTCACCAACAATCACCTAAATTACACCAACAATATCCCAAGTATTTATAAAGTCAAATGGGTATTACACTTATGTTCAATGAAAACAAACACAAATTAATCACGTTCTACTTGAACACATCCTTCAATCAAAAAGATAATTTAATTAGTTCACTTTTTCTTCAGTTTACTTTTAACAAGGAATTAATACCTCTACAAGAGGTATGTCATTCTCTTCCTTATTTTCAACTATCATAAGCCAATACATGACAGCAGTCTTACAAAGTTAAACATTTGTGCACTGGTTTATTAATAGTTATGGTGATCACTTCTAATATGTCTGTACTACCTACACTAAAAGCAACTTTACTGGATCATTCACACATTTATAAAGCACAAGTTCTGTGGTGTCCTTACTCTACAAAATGTGGAAATTGCCAAATTACTCTTTATCCTTGCTCTTAGGTATAAAGTGTACTAATAAAGTTTTACTTCAGTTAATATCAACTTGTATCTACAATTAACAACGGGACAATAATTTTGTTTCTAACATAAACAGAGTACTGAAAATGAGAATGTGTAAACATGATGAACACAAAACTACAAGATATAATACACAGCTGGTGATTTATATGGCATTGCATTAAAATTTAATTGTGGATTTCTGCACTCCCAAATGAACTTAAGAATGACTGCACCTAAATGATCATGGATTTTACAGTGCAGTCTTCCAACAAATCAACCAAAATAAAAGTTTATGTTTCCTTTGTGCTGATCAATCAAGACAAATGACAAATATAAAACTGCAAGCCTGTAAATAGCTTACTTTGAATATGAGTCCCATTACCTGTCTAAAACAAAATCAGGAAATATTAGCATTTAAACTGTTCATCAAGACAAAGAGTGAAGTCATATCACATCAGATGCACTAATCAGCATCAGAAACAGTTAACAGTGGCAGCCATAACATCACAGTAACAAATTCCATGAGATGAATAAAACTATGCTTGTAAGATTTGTGGTTTTCACGGTGGTGACTATGAAGAAAGCAGTCTTCTGGGATGTGGCACCATGTAGATGTGGTGTTAACCAACATTTCAGAGGAACGTATCGCCTCCAACTTCAGGGTAGAAGGAAAAATAAGAAATCTGCAAGCGAAGAAACTGTGAGACAAGCAGTCTGCTTGTACCGGTTCTCACAGTCTCTTCGCTTGCAGATTTCTTATTTTTCCTTCTACCCTGAAGATGGAGGCGATACGTTCCTCTGAAACGTCGGTTAACACATCTACACAGTGCCACATCCCAGAAGACTGCTTTCTTCAAAACTATGCTTACTTGTAATACTATAGTAAGTTTTCTAAACAGAGCATCTATGAAGTGAACTTGAACACTATGAGTTGGTCTGACTTCATGGAGGAGTATCTGATCCAACCATCTTACAGTTGTATTTCATTACCAATAAACTATTTCTGCTCCATAGGATTAAGATATGCAACCTTCAACATTTCTTCAAACCCGAGGGTAAATATGTTTACACTATACAACACATATACCCATATCAGAGAAATTCATGAATTGCTGCAAACTGAGACCATCCATATTAGGAAACAGATGATATGATATTCAGTGTTCCTCAAATTAAGTCTCTCTTTACATCATCATTTCCACGGTCCTAGTGAAATTAACGTGGCTAAAATTTCCTAATGTTAAATGAGTTTCTCAGAGTAGTGACCGTTCAGAGTACTTCCTTCTGGAATGTGACGCCATGTAGTCCAGTAGAAGTTTACTGATGATCCTGTGAAATGTGAGTGAACTTCTACAAGAATACATGGTATATACATGTGTTCTTTTAATTTCTAAAGGTCCACATATAAAGGGATTGACTATGTATCAGCTTCATATGAAAAACAAAACAGTAACAAAATTGATTATGAAACTGTGGGGAACAGAATCCAGGTATCCTACTGCTCATGCAGTAATGCCATGAAGGGTTATATCATGTTTCTAGAATGATGTAACTTATTGCTTCTTAAATCACTGGGACAACATTAGAATTGAGCAAATGTGTATCCATTTTCACATATCCAACTACAGGCACCTCTTGCTTTTCTTTCAACACACATTTCTGAACTAACATCTTAAAAAGATGATCGTTCTCATACTCAGTGTGTTTGTGACAAACTGGTGAGTCAGTACACAAAGAATCAGGTAACTGTGTTGAAACAATGAGTCTTATTTGATGCTTATGGCATTAACATAAAATGTGGTTTCCTTCCAATATGTTCAACAGCATTACACAATATGATGCAGCATGTGGATTCTGAAATGAGTGTCTACTGAACCTCAGCTGGTCAGATGTCTGGAAGACATCGATTACTTAACAGTTCAGAGCTACTATAGTCTGTTCCTTTTCTTATGAAGCTTGAGCTTTGCAAGAAATATAACAGCCAATCAGAACAGGGGATTAAATGTAGCCTTCTGCTACAGCCCCGAGTTGTTGCTTGGCAGTGGTATGAGATATTTATGTCCTGAGCTATTCAGGTAAGTGCAGTTGTCACATTTCATCGCATCTGAAAAATGCTAAACAGGTGATGCATGAACAAGGTAGGAGAATTATATACACTATAAGACAGCAACATGAAGGGGAAAGTGGGAGATGAAAATGAAGAGCTATTTGTTTTATTGCTAGTGGGGCAGGACTCAGTCCCTTGTACTGTGGCCACTTCTGGCCTATTGTACCAGCCCCAGATGATAGGTGAGGGTGATTGTGGAGCAACTGGTGGAATGAAGATTAACAGGGGACACCGAAGTACTCAGAGAAAACCTGCCCCAGCGCCACTTCGTCCACCACAAATCTCACTTGACCAGACCCGGGATCAAACCCAGGCCGCCGCAGTGGGAAGCCAGTGACTAACCGCTTGAGCTATGGTGCGGCCTCGAGATGAAGACTTGTATGGTCACCTGGCAACATCGGTCAGTTTGGCCCTGTACAGCACAACCTGACTGGAATCAGACTACAGCTGGTCATCTCATATTCCTCACCGTTTTATAGCATTCTGATTGGTTTTCACCCAAACTTTACAAGAAAAGGAATAGTCTTCAATATGATTCACCACCATCTGTGATTAAAAATCACTGATCTACGACTCACAATTATTCACGGGTTTTTAATGCATCTCTGAACAGACTTTAACTGCTAAACCGTTGTAACTGCGAAGGAATAACACAGCAGCTGAAATGCAAATTAATGTATATGGTTTGCTCTACACTACATTGTATATAGAACATGAAAGGTCTGATCAAAAGGTAAAAAGATTGACTTCATGTTGCACATATATCACATTTCCACAAAACATGGCTGCAAAGAATGTGTTCTGACATGTTACTAAATATCCAGGTGTGTTTGTAGCTTATTCCACCCTTTTACCACACTACATGGTGTCACACCCAAGTCAGTCACTGCCATGAGAATCCCATATCTCATGTCCCACCATCTGCCACCACAGTCTGATGCTGAGAGTGTCACAAAACAAAACATGAAGACATAAATAAAATTTCCACACACTCAGTCTCAATACCCTTTGATCAGAGCTAGCATCTAAGAGTATGTTTTCCAAAAAAATCTTCTCCTGAAATCAGTTAGTACATATTAGAAGTGTTAACCATTTAAGGAAGTCTTAAGTCAATCTACTTCATTCTGTTTTACATAGCCTTGGAACTGGCAACCCCATTCTCCGTTCTCTACTGATGTGTTTTACTGAGCAGGTGTGAATTAAACTCATACACATTAGAACACTGTTCCCCACAGATATTGCATTTCCAAGGATTACTATCAGAATGACAGCCTTTGTGAAGGAAATACAATGTCTGGTCGGGGAATGCAATACCACAAAACACACACTGCAGTGCAGGAGCAGACCGTTTGTGTGGTGACCGCCAACCCGTTGAATCGGAGGGCTGTTCAGGTCCTGTGGATGTGATGGTTCCATTTGTGGTTGTTGCAATTGGCTGCAGGCTGAATGAGCTCTCTGGTCTTGGAGAAGCAGTGGATGGACGACCTCGAGCAGGGATAGATGAGTTACTACGATTTCCAATCTTTCTTTTTAGATCATCACGGAGGAGTGATTTAAGAGGTGAAACCTTAAATACAGAAAAAATATACATATTATATTATAATTTTCTTACATTCTTCTTTTCCTTTCTTGTGAACCTGTAAAAAAATAACCTACACCTAATATGATCTGAAATTTTTTTAATAAGATGGACAGCATACCATACCCTTTCTAATTAAAAGTTTGAAATAACAATAATTTTAAATTTTATATAACAGTAGAGATGAAGCTGGAAATAAAAGATTGGAAGAATGTGGAAGGATGTCCAAAATATTTACAAAACATCAGTGGAAGATGGTTACAAAAGTCTATAAAACGTGAAGATACTGTTTTATAATATTCATAATAGGCCAACTAGGCCTAATACATTCAGAAAGACAATCATGATTATATAATTCACATCTTTTCCTAGAAGTTCTAGCCACTTGGAGGCATTCAGAGCAATATACTGACACCACTAATAGCACATTCACAAAACTATTTCCAGCAATATCTCTAGGCATAGTATATACACAAGGGCTATTTAGAAAGTAACCTTCGGTGAGCTGCTAACAAAACAAGCAATGAGAAAAGAAAATTATGTACAAAAAATACGTACATACTTAAACTATTTCTGAATGTTCACCGCCCGAATTGAGGCACTTCTTACATCAGGGAATAAGTTTTGTATACTTGTGTCAAAGAGGTTGCTGCCTGTGAGCTGAGCCATGTTTTGACACCTTCCATCAACTCTTCATTACTGTTGAAGGGCTGTGATCACAGCCAGTTCTTCAGGTAGGCATAAGTAAACAGGTGGTATTCACTTGGAGAGATCTCAGGACTGTTAGGAGGGTGGTCAAACAACTCCCAGTTGAAATTCTCCAACAATGATCAAGTGAGAGCAGCTGTATGCAGATGTGCATTGTCATGGAGGTGCACTATGCCAGATGTCAGCATTACACACCTTTTGTTCTGAATGGCTGGCCCTGTGCAGTTTTTTTAGTGCTTCACATGTTATTGTGGTCCTTTGTTGCATGAATTCCACCAACAGCACTCCTTTCCTGTCCTGTCCAAGAAACAGCTGCCATCAGCTTTCTGGCAATGTTTCTTTGAACTTTTTTGGCTTGTCTGGCGAATGTGTGTGCATCCACTGCTTTGACTGTTCTTTGGTTTCAACATTCACAAATGAAACTCAGGTTTCAACACCCATTACTTGCACAATGTGACTGAGAAATTCATCGCTATCTTTGTAGTATCACTCTAAAAAAGTCAAAGCCAAAGCCATTCTGTTTTGCGCACAACCATTAACATTTTCGAAACACATATTGCACAAAACCTGTGATAGTCTAGCCTAACTGTGATAATCTTGTAGAGAACAGCGTGTTAAATTTGTGGAAATTCACATGAAAATTCTGAAATTGTGAAGTGCCATCTGTCACAAATTTTATGGTCATCACTCTGAACAAGATCTTCACTCACTACAAATGGCTGACCAATTCACTCTTGTAAGATTTGAGGTTTTCATGGCGGTGACTATGAAGAAAGTAGTCTTCTGGGATTTGGCACCGTGTATATGTGGTGTTAACTGACGTTTCGGAGGAACATATCGCCTCCATCTTCAGGGTAGAAGGAAAAATATAAAAAATCTGCAGGCAAAGAGACCGTGAGAACCGGTATAAGCAGACTGGTGTTAGAAATATACACGGCTATGTGAGAGCAGTGAAGGAAGGAGGGAAGGGCAAGTCTAATGTCACTGCTCTCACATAGCTGTGTATATTTCCAACACCAGTCTGCTTGTACTGGTTCTCACGGTCTCTTCGCCTGCGGATTTCTTATATTTTTCCTTCTACCCTGAAGATGGAGGCGATACGTTCCTCCAAAACGTCGGTTAACACCACACATACACCGTGCCAAATCCCAGAAGACTACTTTCTTCAATTCACTCTTCACTGTGAACATCTGTTCACCCATCTATGAACATTCTACATTATTGTCTTACAGCTCCTTTACTCATTATATATCAGTCATAAACTGCGCATAATTCACGATTTCTGTAGCACTCATGTTTTTAGTGTGAAGAATGCAGATAACAGCACAAACTGTGCGGCTGGTGGGATTATCAATTGCAGGACACATCATAAGTCACACTGTAGAGCCAAGAACAAACACTAGGTGACCAGTTATGTGATAGTTTACAAGGAAGTGGGTCATGTGACACTACCTCACATGCACAGGCTATTCCCCACTCTGACAATAGTTGCCTAAAATAAACAGAGGTTACTTTCCAAACAGCCCTTGTATATATACGTGTGTATATATCAAGAATGCAATTACTTTGAAGATGACCACATTCGCTTACGTTTAGCGCATACACAGACAGAGGCCCATATATAAATTAATTTAAAACTTTTGACAATGGTATGTCACATTGTTTAAAACTATGATACTGGGTTCTGTCCATTAAGTAAGTAAAGCTATCCCTGTAACAGGCCGTGAAGGCCCATAGGGTTGTGAGACGTTAAGGGTCCCACATTATCTAGACAATCGGCTCAGAGATGTCGGTAAGGTTGTCAGCCTTACGCGCCGGCCGCACTCTACTCCCCAGGAAAATTATTTATTTAATTCCTGGTACTCATTTCTGTTAGATGATGAGTGAACCCCAGGGCCATAGTGCTGCCAGAAGGATTAGGTCAATTGAAAAAAATCTAATGACCTCATCGGTATCTGAACCCGCGACCTTCCGACTTGTAGCATAGTGCCTTAACCACTACGCTACCGCGTGCCCCTACGTTCTGTCCATTGCCTAAGTTTACTGAAACCACAATGTTTCAGGAATTGGTCTTACTCCATCTTGAGGTGAACAAGATAAGAAAGAACACTTACAATGTTCAGCTTCTTATTAGAGTCATCATGTAATAGTGTTTTTTCGTTCTTATCATGCTCACCTGAAGAACAACACCGAACAAAATTTTCAGAACATAGTGGCTCTAATAAACTTGGGTACTGGATAAAATCTAAAATAACATTTTTAAAAATATGCCTATCTGGTTATTTAATTGCCAGACTTTACAGTTTTTCCTCTTAGATTCATTCATTTCCTTTATTTTCCATATATCCATACAGGCAAAAAACCTAGGATGTGGAAATAGTCCCTTTGATAATATAATAAATTGCATAAGTCACACAACCAAAATCACAGACACTAGTCAACCAACATAGATAATAGAAAAAAAAATTTATTACAATTATAATTAATAAACATAATTTAAAAAGAACATTACTATAAAAACTTAAAATTAATACAATTTCACTCAAATTACCCAAATTAACTGAATTAAATGCATTACAAATTTACACACTTATGACCACCTATCTTTCCTTCCTTCTTTCTTTCTTTCTTTATTTGATTTTCCCATAAATCAAAATACATTGATACAGGACTCGTCATATACATACATGCACATCCTCCACTTTCCATAAACATCCATACAGACAACAGACCCAGGATGTGGAAATAGTCACCAAACACATACACAAAGTCACACAAGCCACACAACGAAGATCACCTACATTAACTATCTAACACATACAACAATACGAGGCAAAAAGATAATATCCTGATTAACAGACATAATTCACAAGTAACCACAATACAACCCCTCACATCTCCCATACCAACTATATTAAAATAAGGCGTTAAAACATTCAAATTTATGTACATTTGTAATTAAAATATTCATTTAATGCATAAAAAGAGTTAGCATATTAAAATCTTTTTAGGGAACGTTCAAAGGATTTCTGGTTATTAGATAATTGTTTCAGCTCTTTAGGCAGAAGTTCAGTTAATACTCAAGTAGCTAACTTACAGAATGACCCTTACATATGTTCACCACATAAGCTGAGAAAGGAATTATACATTTTCTCACATGCACACTCCAGTATACATTGTAGAGAGGAGAAGGAGAGACAGACTGTAACAGATGTGTGTGCACATGAACTACTGTAAGAAAAATGGACTTACCTTAATTAGACTGGTAAGGCTACTGGAGGTGGCAGACTGAAACTGGACATTATTTGACTCTGCAGGTGCTGAAGCCAATGTGCGAGCAGTCGTGAGGTTCACAGGCCCATTACTTCTCTGTGAAGGTTCATCTGCGCCACTACCAGGCTCCTGCTTTATTGGGATAAGCGAGATGGATGGAGTAATGGTTGTGGCCACCTCCAGCTCAGATACAGTGCGGGCGGAACCATTTCCATTACTTGCGCCTCCAACTGTGTGACTGCTTGATGGTGCATTTGAGTTGGAATCAACTGAATGTGGTGAACCAGGACATTCACCATTTACTCGCTGAGATGAAGGTTCAGAGCCTGACTGGGAGTTGACCCCTAGGGGTGGGTCACACTAGTAAACACAAGAGCATAATGTTATATTTTAACTGTTCAAAACTGAAACTCATCTATATAATATTTCAAAATTCAGCTTTCAGTATCAAGAAAATGGATCACATACCTGGTCAGAGATCAGTCAGCTAAAGGCACTGATGGGATAAAAACTTCCCAGTTTATATGAGAAACAAAAACAATCCATACACAAGTACACTCTCTGCATGCTTAACGAACACCATAACAAACTGCACATATAATTACCAGTGTCCTTTGAAGAGATAAATTACATGATAGCTTCCCTATTCCTAGTCACATTAACCCTCATATTATGTCTATGCTCCAAATAAAAAGAATGTGGCTATGAGCAGCTTTACCATGAGAAGTACAGAAACCAAGAGAAAGAAGGAAGATTGTATGAGGAAGGATGTAGGTTCCAAATTTTTGGGGGTTTCTTGATCAGCAGAATTACTATCAACACTATTCACTCAGCAAGCGGCCTCCGTAGTCTAGGGGTAATGTTCCCACCTCATGACTCAAGGTACACGGGTTCAAACCCGGCGGAGGTCGTGGAATTTTTAAGGGCGGAAAAATTCAGGGAACAAGTCCTCCAGGAGGGACTTTTTTAAGCCGTGGGTTCCGTGTCGTAGATTTACAGCATGTAAAAGATCGTCATGTCTCTAGGAGACCTCTGAGCAAAATTAGGCAAAAAAAAAAAGTTTCCCGCCCAAGTAGTTTCCAATGCCTCCGGTAGATGGGGAAGCATTGGGAACCACTGC